ATGCGTACTTTCTGAACTTAATACACAACACACCTGTTCAGTGTGACCTGTTAGGACTCCTGAACTGGAAATATTTCAAATATATGAGACAATGGAAAACATCGCATCCCATTTTAAGCATCCCTTTCACAGCAGTAGCATGAGAACAGTAGGGCAGATTGGGGAGTAGGTAAATATCCAAGTATATTAAAGCTTTGTGTTTGGAATGTTAAAGGAATCATATTGAGAGCCTTGAGGAAGAATATAAAAGGATCAGTAGTCTTGGAGGTCAGCTGAGGAAGAAGTTTTCTATATATAGAAAGTCAGGTAGGTAAAAGTTGGAAAAGAGTTAGAGATGCAAATAAATGTGATGTCAGATGGTGACAGGTGCTGATAATGTCAGAGGGGCGAAAGAGAATTTTGAGGAGGCTCTTGAAGGCATTTCAGAAATTTGTATTGTGAAATACCAGATCAGAGTGTTAACATGTAAACTAATGCAGTATTTTTTTTTTCTTTAAAATTGTTCAGTGGTTATAATGCAATTGCTAGCCTGTCTCTTAGCCACTGCTGGCCCAGTAGCCAAGAATAAACATTCCTGTTGATTTGAGAAATGAGTTAAATGTCTCTGAATTTAGTCTGTACCATTGCTTTTCTGGTATGACATACAATTAGCTTTGTAGATGCTTATTTAGAGAGTAGATTTAATAGATTAAATGAGCATTTGGTCTCTATGTGAATTAAATTAAAACTAGAAGAATGTGAAGTGCAATAAATGAAAGTCTCTTCCTAGAAATTTGAAAGATAGTGGACTAGGAGGACTAAGAAGTGAATTGCCAAATGCCTTTTTCTGTGATGATTTTTGTGTTAGACAGAGAGCACATAACCCAATTGAAACCTTCCAGGCCTTCCCACCTGAAGGGAGCCTGGACAGAGACTTTGCAAGGGCATGGAGTGACAGGATAAGGCAGAATGGCTTCAAACTGACATGGAATGGGTTTGGATTAGATATTAGGAAGAAATTCTTAACTGTGAGGATGGTGAGGCACTGGAACAGGTTATCCAAGAAGCTGTGGATGCCTCATCCCATGAAGGTTGGACAGAGCTCTGAGCAACCTGGTCAAGTCATAACAGGGGGTTTGGGATTAGATGGTATTTAGGCACCCAGACCATTTCTCTTAGGACAGGGATTGCATAGTGACTCTGAGGAAATGCAGTAAAAAGGAATACAGTATTGACTCCTTGCTTTTGTCTCCTTTCCTACTTGCACCTACATGCCTTTCATTTATTAATAAAAATTGTTGTATCCAAATAATTTTTTAGGGTTATTTGACTGTAGGATCAGCCAGACTAAACTGAAAATAATAGGCCTTCTGCTGATAATGCTACCAGTGTAGCTGTACCTATATTGCACACTGGGTCCCTGAGGAGGCTTGTGAGGAAGTCTGAGCATATGAAAGCAAATCTGTGAGGCTTGGTGGTAGTTATGGGGAAAACCTGCCTTAGCTGGCACCCTGGTGTTGAAGTGGTTGAAATGAATGAGTGATTGCTGTCTTTTACACTTCCCAAAGGAGTAGTCTTGGAGGTGATTCTCAGGGAATTTCCTGTCCAACACATCTGAATTAAGTTAAAGTAGGGGAGTGGAAGAGCGGAGTGTTGACACCTGGCGTACAATATACAGGCTACATTTTTTTTTTTCTGCTTTTGTCGATTTTCCTCACTTTTCTTACTTTCTTTCCCTACCTTGATTAGATTATATAAATATATAAATTCATAATACAGGGAGGAGAGTGTAAGAAGTATTGGTGAATATATTTCAATACATGTGCTGCACAGGGACATAAAAATAACTGGAGTATTATTTTGCTTTTTGGTGACAAGATGTGTCCCCCAGCAGTTTATTTTTTCTTGGTTCTAATATGAGGCTGGGCTTCTTCTGTTCAGTGTCCTGACCTCAAAGGACATGAGCAGTGACTGCTGCAGCAATGATTCACATAAAAGTAGATATGAATGCAAATGTTCTTTACTTATGAAGTGACTGTTTATGACAAATCTGTCATGTCACCAGTTACTATGAGAACTACAGTGTTTCCCATCAGTCAGCATTTATCAGGTCAGCAATTGTCAGTAGTTAGGAGGCTCTGGCATCTGAAAATGAAAGCTGTGTTTGTTGGAGTGACAAAACATGATGTTGCAGGATCTTGGGCAGTGTAAGTTCACAACTTGACGTTCAATTTAAAGTGAAGATTAATTTAATCACACATAAACAATTCTAATATTGTAGAAGTGTTGGTTTTGCTCACCAGCATGTAGAAGCTCATGTGAAGTCATTGCAGCCTATTATAGTCAAGACTTAAGGGCTCCTGAACTCAGGGGTTGTTCATATGCTATATGCATGCACCAGATGGAAATCCTGGGGGCAGGAATAGAAAAGGAAGCTGTATGGGTGGCCCAGGATATACCACAGCTGCCTGCTTAAAGTCATGGTTGCACCTTGCTCTGCAGTAAAAGCATCTTCTGCCCAGACAGCTCATGGGATTATTAGAATTTCTGTTCCTTCTAAATGAGGTTGAATCATAAGAGAATTGGGAGGGGGACCACAGCGAAACAATCAAAACTAGAATCAAAGACCACTTGTGTCTGTCTCTTTCTGATATTGTAGACAGTGTCTAGAGACAGGCAGTGGTGCCAAATTTCTGCTTTCCTTTGTTATTTCTAAATCAGCACAGCGTTTGGGAATGCATGTTGTTGCTCAGTTCACATTGGAAGGAGGGAGTTCAGTGTGCTCTGTGTGTGTTTTGCTTCTGCCCTCCTCTAAGTCCACGATGAGGGGAATTCCTTGTAGCCCTGGATAGCTGAAGGTGCACCCAGCCATCACAGGAATGTGTGGTGTAATCCCACCTTGAAACACCTCCTGAGCCTTTCTCCTTGTACATTGGCGTGGTCCTGGCTGCTCTCATCTCTGCCCTCTCTTGTGCACAAATTGCTTCATTAGGATGGAGTGAGTAAACACCAGATTTGTGATAAACATCAGTACTGAAAAGGAAGAATCAGCCCTATTGGGACCTCAGGAGGGGTTTTTAATTGGGTTGTATAATGTATAAGGTTAAACCTTTTATGGGAGAAAGCTTTTTGCACAGCTTTAAGCGTGGCCTGTGAGTCTGTGTAGGATATACTTCTAGGAGTTCTGAACACTACCAACAAACCTTTGTGTACAAGAAAACTAATATTTTGGATTTGTGTTTCACATTTCTTGCTACTGATTTTGTTACCCTGTGTTAAGCATTTATCAAAATTCAGTTGTATCTGTTCTCTGCCTTAAGTCCTTCTCATGTTGCAGAAACACCTCAGCTTTCCTTTCCTTCCTGATACTGTTAATAGAAATTTCTTAACACAACTGGGGGGGGGGTTTGTTTGCTTTTTGAGAATAAACAATGAATTAAGTTGTTAGACATGTCTGGACACACAAATGGTGCAAATCAGAGTGTGAAGTTGGCTTTTTAGTCCCATGTGCTGTCAGATATTTCTTTAACTTTAATGATGATTTCAGTCTTTTTTGATGTTGTGTATGGGGTCATGGACTAGGGTTATTTTTTAGCAGGAGATTCTCCTGTTAATTTTTTTTTTTTGTCAGTAAAAGTGAGAATAAAATACATAATTCTCTTCCAAATGTCCCATAAGTTCATCTGTGCTTAGCTATAGATTATGGGTTTTTTCATGTACAGGCATTGCAGATTATAGATTTCTTTGCTGTTCTGGTAATAGAATCTGGAAGCCTCTGAAAGAGCCAATTTGTGCAACAGCAATGTAACACTTAACTGCAGTGGCAAGCCTTGGCTTAATGACCTGAGTGTTAGTAAAACAGAAGTCCAAAGGTGGATTCACTCTGTTGAATGGATCCTTATGCCTTTCCTCATAACTTTTGCAGTAAATGAGGCATTGAAAATATTTTAAAGTACGTAGAGCCTAGATTATAATTAAGACATTTGCTTTTCCGCCACTCAGCAAAACTGCTGATCAGAAAATTGAGATAAATGTTTCACTTACCTGCAGAGGCTAGTTTACCTTGTATTTAAGAAGTGCAGACCAATTGTAGCAGTGTTGGCAGCTCCACTCAAAGAATTTTCAGGTTCCATGCTAGAAAAATTGCTTTTGAGGTACAAACTGCTGTGACTGTTCTAGAACTGTTTTTCCAGTCTCATGTAGTCTAACTAGACATGCAGGGGTGGAAAGTGTCTGTGGAATTAATTCCACCATTAATGTAGAAGGAAGTGTTCAAGGTAAGGTTGCATTGGGCTCTGAGCAGCCTGGTCTAGTCGAAGGTGTCCCTGCCCTTGGTAGGGGATTGGAATGAGATGAGCTTAAAAGTCCCTTCCAACCCGGGCCCTTCTCTATGATTCTCTGCTTCCAATGTATTTATGTGTGTGTGTGTACATGCAGTCCTGAAACTGAAAATTTCTAAAGTGACCTGACATTTGAGATTTCCCTTTTGGCTTTCTTTTTTCTCCTTGTCTTTCCATACTGGGACTGTTTGTGGAAAAGGGCTACAAAGTGTACATGTTAAACTGCAAAGAACTGTTAACTAATCGAGGTGGTCAGAGACTGTGGTTTTGGATCTCCTCCTATTGAATCTGGCAGATGAAAGGATGAGAAGGCAGTAGCTGTGAGGGGAATCTGGAAGCACACAGTGATCTAGAAGTAAATGCAAATAGGAAGATTATCAGGAAAAAAAAAAATTGTCATACATGTATGTGTAAGGGATCTTCCTCTAAGCACAGTCTGCATCTGGTATGGGTTTGATAACACTGTAGAGGGTTATCTCTGTTAGTCCATCTCAGATTTTTAGATAGAGGAGTGTCTGATACAGTCTCTGATAGAAGACAAAGTAACCTCAGATGTTGTAAAGGTTTTTTTTTTCTATTTTTGTGAAGTTTTGTGACATTCAAGGAGTAACTTGCGAGAGCTCTTCATGACGCCTAAAGCACAACTAAATTGCTCTCCCTTCCCTCTGTTCTTTTCCGCAGGATCCCGTCTCCGCCAAGAGGACTTTCCACCGCGGATTGTGGAGCACCCCTCAGACGTGATTGTTTCCAAAGGAGAGCCAACCACCCTGAACTGCAAGGCGGAGGGGAGGCCCACGCCCACCATCGAGTGGTACAAGGACGGCGAGCGGGTGGAGACGGACAAGGATGACCCACGCTCCCACCGCATGCTGCTGCCCAGCGGATCTTTATTTTTCCTGCGCATCGTGCACGGGCGCAGGAGCAAACCCGACGAGGGCAGCTACGTTTGTGTGGCAAGGAACTACCTTGGGGAGGCTGTGAGCCGCAACGCGTCCCTGGAAGTGGCATGTGAGTAGTGTTTTTTTTTAGTATTCTTTAAAACTTCATGGTGGCTTTTATGCTGTCACCCCAGCACTTGCACACACTTCTGGGAGATAACAAATGGGGATAAACGCAGCATTTTGTCATTAGCTGTTGCTTTTAGTGAAGGCATTTCACTTGTGTTTGCTCAGTAGCAGTGACTGTACAGAATAAGTGATTTATACTGAAATGAGGTTCTAGCCAGAGTATAATCATGATTGGCACAAACGTGGACAAAAGATAATCTTCCTCTGAAGAATAACATGGACAAAGGATAATCTTCTTCTGAAGAATAATCTAATTTTTAAATGATGTCTAGAGTTGGTTATACTGGAACTAATGTGGAAAAAATACCTATCATTTAATCTAAGGTGCGCTGTCTGTTTCTCTTTATCTCATAATCTGTTATGAGCTAAACAGAAGCAGACAGCATCTTGGTGACTCATGTCCTGTACTGCTGCAAACCTCAATATATGCTCCTCAATCATAAATTTGACCCTGGCCTCATTCATTATGTGAATGGCAAGTGAAATTGTTGGCCATTTCTCATATCATCCACAGCAGTCTTGGTGTTTATCGATTCTCTTTGTCTTAACAGAGAAGTCAACAGGGCTCTTTCAGAGCCCACCTGGCATGAGCAGTCTGCTTCCAATAGAGTTAGCAGATACATTCATTATATTCACAGCAAACAAGCTCATCAGACATAAAATATAATCAGTTGCACATGGATTTTTTTTTGTTGCTTAGTTATATGGATTGACTCAACGCTGATCTTTTTATTCAGAATGTGCATCTTTGTCTATAATTGTGTTTTAATACATTTGAGTGCTCTCTTCTTGCTGAGCTTGAGTTTTTCAACCACAGCTCTTCATCTGAAAGTAGTTTCCCTAACATGTGTTCGAAGCAGGGCTCTAGAACAAATTTGTATTGCTTAGTTGTTAAAAGAATGGGTTTAAGTCCACAGTGGAAGGTATGTTTAAAGGGAGGAAGCATGCAAGAGAAATCTGTGTTCCTAATACAGTTTTCAGACTTTCTTAGCTAATATAGTGTGATCTTGAGGATTCTGTTTTCTCAGAAATTGCAGAAAATGCCATTTTTGAAATATTTAAATGGCAGAATAAGGCAAGTAGAACAGACATTTTCACTGCATTTCACCTGTGGTAACCTAGATTCAAAACTGTGTCAAACAAAAAATGAAAACAGTTTTGGCACACTATCAAGGCAGAAGTAAATGTGCCAGTGACTGCACCACAGAAAGCTTTTCAGTTTTGGTTGGTATTTGGGAATAGAGCAGAAACCAGCTTAAGGAAGGCTGAAATCTGGGTGAGTATTACTAGATAAATTTACTGGATTATTTGTGGTTTTGTACATGTGTTATAACTGTTGAGAAATTTTAAGAGAGTGACCTAAACACTTGAAATCTTTATTGTAATCCTGTTGAGATTCAGGCTTTCCTGTTGAAGTTCAAAGGATTGTTCCAGTTGTACCTTGAGTCATCATATTGAAGTGCATGATTATTTTGAAATTAAAATGTGCTCTGTATCTTGTTCATTTTCACTGATCCCTACTTCATTGACTACTGCAAGACTCTTGTTACACCATCTCCAGTTTTTGGAGTTTGTTTAACCTCTGTAGCTGGTGGCAGTTCAGGGATCAATCATAGGGGAGATAGTAGACAACTTTAAAAAAAAAGTCAAGCTGTTCTCTTTCATCAGGTATTTTAGGGCTGGAGCAATGTAAATGTGAAACTGAGATCTGAAACCATGGCTGAAGTTTTGTGGTAATATTGTGCTTTTACTGTTTCCATAGCTTTGAAATTTAACTTCCTGAACCCCCCAATTAAAGAGTTTAGTAGTCTAAAGCAGGTTCTCCTATTTCACTTGAACAGTGCTTTATCATTCCTTGAGTAGTACCATGGCTGCAATTACAGAATGGTCTTCATCAAAGAAGAAACTTATAAATAATTACATACATTGCTTGTTTACTTAATCTTAGTGATTCTGCTATGATTTTTAAAAGCACATGGCAGTGCTTGGTGTGTATCAAAGGCATCCTTTGGAAGGTGATAGCAAAACTACAGTTTTGCTGGGGTTTGAGATAACTTTTGGTTTTAAGTCAGGTTTTCGAGTGACATTCAGGGAACAGTTGGAGTTTCTTACTTGTGTTTCTGGTGTCAGCGTTTCTGGGCTGAAGAAGATGGGCAGGCCTGTAGCAGCCTGCTTGCAGGCTCAGGGGATGAGTTCCTGGTGACAGGGTGCTGTCAGCAGTGAGTCCCCATTCCCCTGTGCTCAGCTCCTGCCTGGATGCTGCAGCCCTGTCCGTGGGCCTGGCTCCTGCTCTCTGTCAGGATGTTGAAAACTCTCCTTTCCACACCCAGCCAAGCTCTTTTCATCACCAGAAACAGGGAGGCTGTCTTCTGCTGTCAACAGGGTTCTGGATTCTTATCTGACTGTAGGTGGCCTCAAAGAGTGCCATGACAGCTAAACTGCTGATTTTCACAGGTTTGAAATGCTTGAGTGTGTTGTTTTACAGTGAAAAACTGTAATTGTTTTACTTTGCTTATTAAATTGGCACTTGCTAATAATGTGTGTTCTTGCAACTTTTGCATGATTTATGAAGAAATATCTACTGGGTTTTTATGAAAGTTAGATGTGTTTGTGCTTTTGCAATAATATGATAAACAGTGTTAATTATGATTAATTTATTTCCTTCTATTTACCCCCTCCATATCACCAAAGCAGTGGGATTGAAAGTCTTCTGATGTATCCATATTTATGTGTAAAGACAGAAGTTAAATTCAGCTGGGACGCAGAGTGGTTCAAACCATCTTGAACAGAGTAGTTTTGCCCTTTGGTTTTTTTTTTTAAGGAATGAGTTTTTTCAAGTTGCTGAAATCTCTAGGCTCTTTTTGGTTGAGTAACTGTTTACACCTTTCCCAGACAAGAATTTAGGTATCAGCCCCTCTAAAGCACATAATGTGCACTTCTACATCCATGCCTCTTCATGCCTACAGTCCAGGACAGATGTTTTTGTACTAATGTATATCCTCAGAAAAATTTGTCCATGCCAGTAAAACTTTGGAGAACTGTGATTTGAAAAGTTACTTTAAAAAACATTATTAATATACTGAATATGCCTTTAGAATATTTTTGCTTTTATTTAGGATATCTTCATTCCTGAAAACATTTAAGAAGAAATAGTTGGTATTTAGAAGAAAGAGTTATTATTTGAAGGCACAGTTTAGGATAGATATGACTTATTCTGTTTGTTGTCTTCTTAATTAAGACATTAATTCATGGTGTGCTTCATGCAGATGAATTCTTCTGTAGGAGCTTCCTCAGAAGGAAAAAATAATCCTAATGCTACCAGTCAAAGAAGTCTTCCAAAATGTATGTGGCAAATTCTCATGTAGTGTTTTTGTTTTACAGTTAAATCATTAAAACCAGATGTTCTAGCCTTAAAACCTCTGTGAAGAGTTGTATTCAAAACAGTAAAACATCTTTCTTTAGATTTTGTCCTTAAGAATTTTTTTAATTGAAATTGAGCAAGGGTTGGCATCATTAGATGTGTGTTGATGTTCAGATTTTCTTGGGAGAATTTAGGAGTAGGCTTGAAATAGCTTGATCCTTCACCGAACTGTTTCGTATTCGAACGCTAGAAGTCTTAAAATAAAGGCACATTATTTTTTAACCATGCTGCAGTTGAGGCGATCGAAGCCGCGCGGTGGAGTTTTCCGGCGGGAATATCGGGAAGCACGTTTGCAGCAGCAGCAGTGAGGGTGGCTAGGGTTTCAGCTGGGAGCACCGGGCAGCCCCTGGTGAGCTGGGCAAGGAGCGCCGGGGTCCCTGCGCTGGCCGGGCCCGCTCTGACCCAGCCGCAGTCAGCGGCAGCCCCCAGGGAGAGCAGCTGGAGCTCCAGGTGTTAAATATGTGACAGCAGCTTGATCTATCGACCGCTGTTACAGGGGGCTCTGGCCTAAATGAAAATTCATGAAAAATTGATGAAGTCCCCAGATTATTTTTTTTCCCTTTCCCTTTTGCAGCGCCGTGCCAGTGCGGCGAGGAGAGATTAAATGAGGTGTTGAACGCTTTAGTGGCGAGGAGGTTGTGGTTCAGAGGTCGGGGGGGAGGGGAAATAAGACCCATTTTCTGCCTTACTTTCCTTTAAAAGCAAACATGAAGCTTTTCAGATTAGTTGGGATTTGCTGCCATTTTAATGTAATAATAATAAAGCTCAGGAATACTCACAAAAAGGATTCTTTTCTGCATGAGTTGGGAGCATATGGATTGGTGCAGAAAATAGTGGAAGCCTCTGAGTCATAATTCAATTGAAGAACCAGAAATAGATTGAATTTTGTAATGGCAGTATAAATTTGGGCCTCCATCTTTCTGAGTCTCTGCTTGAACTGAAGTCATTTGGAGAAAGAAGAGGTCTTGCATTATTTATATGCCATAGATTGCTTGGATAGCGGGCTTCGGAACACTCTCTAAACATAATGATCCTGTTTGTGTTAGAGTCAACACTGAATTATGTTTTTATCTGTAACAAGAGAGGTTATAGAACTACACTGAGTTTAGTGTGAAGTCATAGGTGTTCTGCAAAGCAAGCCTAAGCCACATCTTAAACGTGGGAGACAGTAATTTTACAAATAAACCAGATATATTGAAGCATTCAGTGAATGAAGGCTGAGAGATATAAAATATATGCTATGCAATCACCTTTGCATCATAATGCTAATGGCTATTTGCTGGAGCATGTGCAAGAGGCTGCAATGTGTTCATAATAATGGAGTTAATAATTTCCTATGAGATACTCAGAGTGAAAGAAGAGCACAGTGTATGTGACTGTAAAATGGGTGGATGGTTTTTTCCATCTAGTTTCTGTTTGATGTATGATAGTAACACATAACTAATTTTGTTACTGGTGATTTTGAAGTCTGATTTGCTCTGAGGTGTTACTTTCACATGTGGAGAACATGTCCTGTTACT